TGCGGATGTAAAATTCTTTAACATACTTGGCTTATACATTTAGATCTATAATAAGGTATAACTAAGAGCAAAATCAGCCATATTAAAGAGTTAAGAGTTAAGTTACAAAAGTTGCAAAGTTGCCTTTCTGCTGAATACAGTCATTGACTGCATCTCGATACGTTGGCTCAGTTCAAGTAGCTACGATCTAATTTATATTTTCGAATTCATAGGTCGAAATAGATCGCGTAGCAGCGCCTACGCATGCTTGGATGCTGCGAGCTACAAATAAGCGTCAACCATGTCCTCGTCATAGCCGACACATTGTTCGAGATGAAAAGTTATTATCGATGCAAATATATGAAACACGAAAACGAGATGCGCGTCGATGGTGGCGAGATGTAATCGCCTTCCTGGTTCATTCGAAAAGTCACCGAGATACTCGGAAAGATTCCCAGTTTTATGCGACGCGTTCGGATCCACTTACGCAAAAACCGCTATACCCTTTTCACGCGAAGAAAATGCCGTTAAGGATGTATCTGAGATACGATCGTTGACAAAAGTCCCCCAAATTCGAAATATTTGCATAACTGCGCCAAACGTGTAGTAAATCTAGTGATAACTTATATAAATGGTAGATAATACAATATATTTATTTTTAAAAAGTTATTTTTCACTCCTTTCCTCCTTTTAGTCTCCTTTTAAAAAGTTACTAACTTATCAAACTGCCCACGTATAAACGCATATAGTTCTTGCGATTGGCTCCAAACTTATCTTTTGAATTTGTTTCATATAATAAAGTTACTAAATGATTAAAACTGTTTATAAAAAGTAGATGCGATTGTGCTTCGACGCAAGCGTTTTATACACAGAAAACACGCATCCCGAATATATGCCCCGACGCATAATAATAGTGATGACACATATGTCTGTTTACAATATCATGGATCATGTCAGGATCATGTTCAGACGTTGACGTATTTATGATACGATTGTCATTTTGCGATTGATCAAATCGCATTGAGAATGTGAGAATGCAAACAATAATTGTAAATCAATAATATTGGTGATTTAATTGGATCAGTTATCTTAGAAAAAAACGCAAGTTTTTCAAATATGTAAAATTACTCATAAAATAAATAATTTTATTTATGTTACCAATAGTAATAGATGTAGCAAGGAACCAAGTTGTAAAGCAGGAAGAAAAGTATGTGTATGGTATACGTAGTAAAATGTCATGTGTGCTGTAGAAAATTGAACGATAATGCGTTAACGATAAATGTCGATTTGAGGAGACTGTCGTCGAGACAACTTTCAAGAGTGGAGAGCATTAAAAAAATTATCTTACAAACGTCGAGGGTTGGATATTATCAAGTATGTATTCAATATGGGCGAAGTCAGGATTATCACTTGGACGTTGCGGCATTAAGATACGATACAACTTGTTATCACATCGCAATGTTACCAAAGAAGTTGTCGTAGAATCGGTATCTGCAATATTTTTATCAGACCTTTTTTTTTTTCTTTTTTCTCTCCTCCCATCTCTGCCTTTCTAGTTGAAATCTTTTTTCAGAAATACGATTTGTATCGGCTTGATAAAGGGCCGCTTGAGAAATCGACATTAAATATGAAAGATGCTACATATGCACTGAAAACAATGAACTACATACGTCGGATGGAGAACAGAGCTGCAGAGCTGTACAGACAGCGGCTGATTAATGGCTTCTTACATTTATACGTTGGTCAGGTACGTCAGTATAGATGAGAAGAATCTAGATCGCGCAATATGTGAACCAATAATTGTGCAACATACCATGTGCTGTGCATCGTATGGTGAATGAAAAATGAAAACACGATTTGTAATATATGTGTCCTAGGAAGCTATAGCTGTAGGTCTGAAAATGGCTCTAGCTGAACGAGATACTGTTATTACGGCATACAGATGCCATGGTTTCGCTGTTGTGTTCGGTATCTCGAGTCGTTCGGTTCTTGCGGAACTCATGGGTCGTAAGACAGGTGCGGCCAAGGGTAAGGGCGGCTCGATGCATATGTATGCCCCACGATTTTACGGTGGCGACGGTATCGTCGGCGGACAGGTAAATGCGCTCTCACTTTTATATTACTCTCGGCTTTTATTACGCAAATGGCTTAAATCTCATCGAGCGTCTATTAATGATACCATATTATCTTATTACGATTAGGTACCTATCGGCACCGGTATAGCTTTGGCCCACAAGTACAATGGCACAGGTGCCGTATCCTTTACAATGTACGGCGACGGTGCAGCTTCGCAGGGTCAAATTTATGAAGCTTGGAACATGGCGAAGCTCTGGAATCTACCGGCAGTCTACATCTGCGAAAATAATAGATATGGTATGGGTACAGCCGTGCATCGACATTCCGCCAACACTCGGCTATATACGCGCGGAGATCTCGTACCAGGCATAAAAGTAAATGTACCAATACATTGCTCTTTCGCATGCTCTGTCTAACTCTACTCTATAGCTGTTCTATTATTTATAAAAAACAAAAAACGCTCGCACTGGATGAGGTAATGTCATGTCCATTACATTGATTACATCACATCCAATACCCGCGCTACAATGTATACCTACACCCGGAATGTACATCCCATATGCGTATAGGTTGATGGGATGAAGGTCATGGATGTACGAGAAGCCATACGCTTTAGCAGAGATTATGCACTCAGAAACGGCCCGATTGTGCTGGAGATGGTAACTTATCGTTATTTTGGACACAGTATGAGCGATCCTGGTTACTCGTATCGCACTAGAGAAGAAATTAAAGCTGTACAAACTGAGCAAGATCCAATCATGTTATTTACCAAGCTCCTCGTAGAGAAAGGCCTTATGACCGAAAAAGACATCGAAGTATACACTTGAAAACAAAATTAAAAATATTCTCAAACTTTACTGCATATAATATAATATATGTAAATAAATACTGTATATATATATATATATTTAAAAAATTTTTTTTTAAATTAACAAAAGTAATGTTTCAAATTTTAATTTACGATGATAGCTGACGCAAAATGATAACTGTGTTTTAATTTAATTATTTGTTACGTGTTCAGAACATACGAACATCAGTCTACGAAGAAGTCGATCAGGAAATGGAGCAAGCCAAGGCCGATCAGTGGCCAGAAATATCGGAACTCTCGACCGACGTTTATGTCAAACCATTAGAAAAAATTCGCGGTAAAGTCCCTTGGGAATTACTCTGAAAGAGAGGCGATATAAAGTTATTAATTATTCTGTGATTTCTTATATTCGTAAGATTTAAATTACTCATGTCTCACATGTTCACATTACCATACATGTACTTATTTTGCTAAAAATATATATCACACGTACGGAGGCGAAACGCGCGTACCTTTTAATAACTTTTAAAACTGGAGTGGCAATCTGAAACTTTTTAAAAGCAGTCAATAAAAACGATTCTTTTTTTTTATTCGACTAACTGTAGCCAAAAGTAACATTAATATCATTATATAGTTGATATTCATGTAGGAGTTTATATATTCTCGTTAGAGACGATTCATATGAAACGGAATTGACTAGGTTTGAACATTTAATAATATTTACGTCTGTATTATCTTCTCATCTTGACTTTTCATGTCGAGTAAACGTGCGATGCAGGCTACATTACATAGGAGAATCCTCTCGATTTCGTCTGTTACAAGTAGGTATATTCAACGGCATATCAATATATACATATATAATAAACCTATACGAATTAGCCTTGATCAGCTATATTTTTCTATTGATCTGATATTGATGTTACGAATGTACGAAAGTACAATCGATCTTCCATAGAGATTTGAAGAATTTTTCAGTGAATTCAACGTCCTCTCTACGAGATCGCGCTACAGATATAGAGAGGATGCAGAGAGTAGAAGAATGAGTCTTATCATTTCTTTCGACGAAGAAAAAACGATCAATTAAAACTGATGATCGTTTTAAATGATGTGAGAGAGAGAAGAGAGTAGAACGGAGAACGGAGGAACGACGAAATGGTAGCGGAGAGATGGTCTCGATGAATGAGTCAGATCGAGAAAGAGGCGTAGGAGAAGCGCGACAATAGCGAAGCCAACATGGTAAAGCCAACGCGCGGAGACGTACGCGAGACAGACGAGACTGGGCATGGCACGAACGTCTCTGCGGGAGTCGTCTTACGTCGCTCGCACGTGTCACGTCGCGCTAATTGAATTCTAACGAGACGACAGTCGCTTGACGATACATGGACGATATCGAGTCCGAGCCGTCCGAGGGTCATCCGAGAATCAGCGCATCTCTATCTACCAACGTTTCTTTCGTTTGAACCGCGCAGGCACGCGGTTCAAACGAATCTCTTCGTCCTGCGTGATCCTCTCGAGTAGTCTCAGGGAAAGCAGCTTCAATCTGGCAAGTACGTTTCTCCATAATTATACTTTACGTAACTTGCCGCTCGTAGAAAAGTAATCAAGTTAATTCCAGTTCTACTTATAATTTGCGCCATGTCCCTAAGTTTGACATTTAATTAGAGCTCAAAATTAATTAAAGTTTAAGTAAAAGCTACGGCGAATGAGATCGAAAGGGCGATGCTTGACGAGTTTGTAGAATAAAGAGTGAGTGACTTAAGGTGGACGAATGGTCGATCGGTCAAAGTTAATAAAACTCAACGGGCAACGAGGCAAACGCGGCCGCGTCATCGAGTAAAACGCTCAAGGAATTCTTCGCCTGGATAGACAATGATAACTCGGATCGAAGTAACTTGGACGGCACGACGCCGTGTTTTGCACCGTGTTTTGCACCGTGTTTTGCGCCGCGTTTTGCGGATATTTAGCATGAGGTAGAAAGGTGATCTACATGTTACTATATATTAATGACTAATTTTTTCATTTCTAGTGCAAAATATCCACATATACTATATATGCGTTGTACATTTTACGTTGTATTCTTAAATTAATACACATTGCATTAATTACGTTGTATTGTTAAATTACGTAGAACGATAGATGCGAGATAGGAAGTATGTCACTCGTACATGGTTTCTACTGTTGAAAATTTAAATGCTTGATAAAGCCTTATCTGCGATGGTTGTATCTCGCGCGGTACATCCTGTAGGAACTAAAATATAAGAATACCGCTAACATAAGCAGTGAGTTCTGTAATATATTAGAATGCGCCTTCCCCCTCTGTATTAATATTATGAAAAATTGCGGCCCAGCTGACAGAGAAAAGGAAGGTAAACAAATATTTTTGTCTTTCTGACTCTTTTCTACAAGGAAAAAAAAACCCAGTATTAGCCAATCAGCGAGTTCCTGACAAAGAAAACAATATTACAATTTTTACATCAGAGTGTAATTGTTGGGAATTGAGTGGAACACCTCCGCTCTTCTAATGGTGCGCTCCAGTATATTATAGAGCTCAGTTAATACAGCTAGTTAATACAGTAAGCTTTACACCATTGTTATAAGTCCTTTTGACGGAAAATTTCAGGCTTCTTCGCGATTATTTCTTAAAAGCAAGCACGTGAGCGCACCGGCACAGGTACAACAATATGGAAATCGACATGAACATTAACGATATATTGCAAGTACTGCGAGGTATGTATAATAATTTAAACGGAACGACAAACACAGGAAATTTTTTACGCAAATTTTTCGCGCAACCGTTTGCCGTTGTGCTTTCCCATATGCGCTCTACGAGATGTATATACATATAAATATATACTCTGTTGACAGAAATGATAACGTTTCTGGAATGTCTCGGCGACGCGCAGCTTCCGCTTACGCTCGAGAGCTTGCGGGAGAAGCTGTTGGTACGGTCGAAAAACACTTTAAGCGTCACGATGGCTCGAGCGTCGTCCTTAGCGGAACCTTACTTGGATATGAAGTCCGGGCCGAGAAGCGTATTGTTGACTAAGAGCGAAGCCGATTCAGAAGAATACGTCGGAATGGAAGAATCTCAAAAGCGTACCCAGATCCACCCTCGCACGCACACTCATCAGGATTATTACGAAACTTTCGAAAACGACGGCTCTCTCCGGATCGCAAGCGCGTCATCGATCACGAATGAATATCTCAAGCAAAACGACGATCGGGACGAGGGGGGACAAATGCTGATCGGAATTTATAAGAACGTTTCGGCGATGCAAATTAAAAGCAAGTGTTACAAATGCGGTCCGCTCTACAGGAAGGAAGGAAAGAAGTTGTTTCTATCGGAAAGCCGTGCCTGCTGGATCGCATTGGTTGGATCGCATCTGCTCATCTATCGAAGCGAACGACACAATCGACCGTACGCGATCTATCAGATTCGGGGTTACAGGGCCCGTCCGGCGCCAATGATGATTCCCCGTGACCGACAAAAGAGCGAATCAGCCTTCGAGATATATAGTCCTGGAAACGAAACGTTACAGTTTATTGCGAGAACACCCAAGGAGATGGACCAATGGATAGCAAAGATCTGCGAAATAGAATGTTGCAATGAGAGCGAAAGGAAGAAAGCAACGGAAGCTCACGAAAAGAAAGGGCGGACTACTATCGTCGAATCCCCGTTAACGGATCACAGCCGTAGTAACAAGACTACGCGAGATGCTGAAAAATCGGTTGTCGTCGATAACTCAACGGCCAAAGCGGCCGAACTGACGAGTAACAGGAACAAAGTTGAGCGAAAAGAGAACACGGACGAAAGGGCGCCTTCGCTACCTGCCCGAATACCTCGAAGGCTTCCCTCTTTACCTCCCGATAACGAGATTCTTACGGTATCCTCTTACAGAGCGACCGTCGACGGTGACGACGACGATGACGATGACATTTATCACAGAATCGAAGATCTGAGGAACGAAACGCGTTATCAAAATATGATATTGCCGAAAGACAAGCAGGCTGGTGCTAGTGACGAGAAACAGAAGGAAGAGAGAGCTATCGCGTATGACGACATTGGTGCGCGTAATAAAAAAAATGAGAGAAATGACCAGGTGGAAAAAGGTAAGTCCTGTGATGCAATATCGTCTCAAGAGTAGTCGACGTACGACGATATCGTTACACTTTTGCGAATAGATGCTACGAGGATCGAGCCGAAACGGAACCTGGATAATGATTCATCTATCGAGGTATCTATCGTTGACGGAGCGATCGAGAAAAGAGAAGAGTTTTACGATGATGTGGGAGTAAGCCTAGTTTTAATGATTGCAATTGACGCTTTGCAAAGACAATCTCTCTCTCTCTCTCTCTCTCTCTCTCTCTCTCTCTCTCTCTCAGTAGAGCAATAAAAGTGTATTTTTACCGCTCTATTATAGTTTCTCTACTAAATGACTAACCAAAATTTGTGTAGTATACAGCACCCCTCCATAAGTTTGGGAACAAATACGTTTTTCGTATTATAAAATGGTGGTTTTCCTTTTCCTGTTTTTAATATTCTAAAATATTTAAAAAAAAATTAGCGATTATACCATTCTATAGAGCAAAGTGTCAGCTTTAAGAATCTATATTTTTAATTACGGTATACTGATTTTTAACGGAGTTATGAGCAATCAAAGTCAGTATGCTCCTTTTTCATATAAAAATCTTCGAATTGACTGAACGGAATAAAAAATCCCTTTACAGGATTAAAGTAGCCGCAAAATTTTAGGAGGTGGTGCAGTGGACCTTGTACTAAAATCGAAAAGAAGTTAAAAAATTTTTTAACCACCTCCTAATTTTGCATTTACTTTAATCCTGTAAAAGGATTTTTTATTCCGTTTAGTCAATTCGAAGATGTTTATACGACCGTAATGTGATAATTTGGTCACTCCAGCGTCCCCTTAAGGAGATCCTAAAGCCGCCGGTATTAGGGACTAAATCATATATATATTTGTATGACAAATACTTTTTTCTCTTTCACTGATTCGAAAATCCTTTTCCAGGATTAAAGTAATACGCCTTAATACGTGTTTGTGAGGTGGAATTTATGCCGAGAATGACCAAAAATTTCGAAAATGATATATTTTTTACCATTTCTTAGTGTAACATGGCGTCTCAAGCTGTCAAGTCGTGACAATATTTGCTTAATACGAAAGCTTTCCAACCTGTACTTACGAAATAGTGATCCACAAACACGTAGTTTGCACGAACAAATAACGTCGAGTTCTTAGAATAAGACTTAGACGCTTTATCGCGACGAATCTGTTATACGAAAATTGACACAAATGTGCGACTGAATGTACAATATCATAGGTTGCGTGAGATATTGGTGTGGTAGTGTATACAGACAAGTCGATGCGCTGGAAAAACAGCGACGATTTTGTCCAAGTTTCAACTTCGATTTAGGATCCCCTTAATCCGCTAGTAATTCAGAAGAAACAGAAAATCGTAGAAACATTATTAAAAACCGGTTTTATAGGGAAAACTTCAATCTTTCACGACAGACAGTCAAAAATTTTCTCGATTTTTTGAGGGGCACGTAACAGACCTATAAAGTGAGAAAAGAAATTTTTTTTCAGTTGGTAGACTTTCTGTATGTAAAAATTATCAAACTCACATAAACTCAAAAAATATAGTAAGTTTTTGGAAAATTTAAAGCTTGAAAACTCTACTGCCAAAAAAAATTACCTACTATATTTTTCGAGTTTATGTGAGTTTGATAATTTTTACATATAAGAAACTACCAGCTGAGAGAGAGAAAAAAAATGAAAAATTTCTTTTCACTTTATAGGTCTGTTATGGAGGGTAAATACTGTATGTATTGCAAAGATAAGCGCATCATTAATAAAATTATACAAGTTTTCGTTTTGTTTCGATACAGAGCTTAATTCCACACGGGAGATTCGCCAAAGATCGTGTCAAGATCGAAACGTCGAGCAAGCTTCAACAAAAAAAGTCCTTTCTGGATAGAGTTTTGAGTAGAAGAGAATCTCCCAAAAGCAAAGAATCGGACAAGAGAGAGAGGTATCGTTACAAGGAGAGAGAGGATAAAGTTTCATCGAATCCAGCATCATCTTTGGATATGGAAAAAATGCCTACCTACGACGACGTGTCCGATCTGACGTCGAAACAGGATTACCAGGCAGGATCCTTAACGGACGAGGACGAGGAATTGTCGGAATATAATCATCCTCCTCCACCCAGGCCAATTTATCAAGTAAAATTGCTCGCGGAAGGCCAAAGTGAAACGCAAGAATTTTACGACGATGTTAGTGCCTATCAAGAACGGCATAATAAAAATCCTCAGCAGGTAAAATGTCCCTTACGATGATTAAAATTCGTTTGTTTGATTAATAGAAATGTGCTTTAATTGAAATCTACTCTCTTTCGATAGCAAATAATCTTATTTTGCAGGCGACACGGGATTCATGTAGTACGAAAGTAAACGAAGCTGAACGCAACGCGACGTACGACACAGATCAATCCGAAACGAACGCCCGAGAAGAGACGGAGCATTATCAGTCACCAAGAAGCGACTTGTGTATTCGCGACGATGCCGATGAGAAGAATGAACAATTGTACGACGATATAGCGTTGTGGGCCGACTTTACAGCACGACAAAGAGACATTGCCGGCAAGAGAGAGACTGAAGATGCTAAATCAGTCAGTTTGGACAAAAAGGCTTGGAATCGATTTGCCGTCAACCGAAAATCACGAGTCACGAGCGATTTTAACTGCTCCACCGAGCCAAATAAACGAGGCGATAACGAGGGAAGCGACGAGATCGAAGATTCCCCTACTGAGAATAGTGGGGCGATCAAAAGGAACACCTTTCAAAAATTGATCAGCAGAATGGAAAACTCTCTCGCTAAAGTTTCCGCGAGAAGTCCGTCCTCGCTCTCGACGGGCAAGTCAAGTGTATCGAGTAATAGCTCGTAAAGCTCGGATTTGTGCCAACTCGTGCGTCTCGTCTCGAAAAAATCTATATACAGGGTGGGGCACCTAATGAAACAAAACACCGGAATATCTCGAAAATTAAACACGGTAGGGAAATATGGAAAAATGTTTCAGACAAAAGTTATACGATTCGAAGGGGAGGGGGGGGGGGGGAAATAACGATGAAATCATTTTTCAAAATAATCGATTTTTCAAGGTCACGGAGGTCACCCTCACTTTTTTAAGTGGAACGATATGATTTTTTTTACACAATATGGTTCCTCTAATTATTCTTCATACAAAAGTATTAAGGTAGTGATAGCAAAAACTAATAGTTTACGAGATATTTTATACTTTATTCTGGCATATATATATTGACATAAAACGTTAAATAACTCGTAAACTATTAATTTTTTTTACAATCTCGTACATTAATGCTTTTATGAACAGAATAACGAGATGAATCAATTGGTGGAAAGAATAGTTGCTTTAAAAGAAATATGTATACAAAAAAGATAATTTTTTAAATAAGCAACTATGTATTTTTTTTCCATCAATGGTGTTTTGTTTTAGGTATCCCACCCTGTATAATATACAGCTTTAAAATTAGATTATAATTCACTATACATATAAAAGATTAATAAACTTATGTGTATGTAATAAGTGAGCAAGCACATAAAGCAAGTGAATTTAATAATGTATAGTAATTTTATTACACACACACACACACACACACACACACACACACACACACACACACACACACACACACACACACACACACACACACACACACACACACACACATACACACACACAAAAGTGGTTTATTCGCGAGCTAAGACGCGGAAAACAAAATTTTAAGAATCTCGTAAGCGCCGTTCGCGTTGCAGTCTCGTAGAGTTACCTATTCGAGCTCTTGAAGAAATTTGTAAAATATATAATTGAACCAGAGAGAGTGATTAAGAATTAGCGTGATAAAATCCTTCCTCACGTAAAAATTGTTACGAGTCGTCGATAATTTTGAGCGGCGATCATTGCATAGCGCATACAAATCGCAAATGCAATTTCGATGTAATGAAGGAAGTAAATGAGTAGTGGCGGATACGAGGAGAGGGAGCGGAGGAGCCCCCTCCAAAGTTCTCCAAACAAATTTCGTATTGGAAAAAGTCGGTTTTAAATAAATGAATTGAGAGAAAAGATTATCAAAGATCATGTATATTCTGGGGACTAAGGGTCTCTTTCACCAGCCTCAGTTAAGCTAATCGACGGTTACACGGGGCTCATTAATTAGGCCTAGTTTCACAAGTTCACAACTCGTGGTTAACTCTTAGAGCGTTAGCAGAAAGCTGACTTATAATTTTAAGACAGTGTCTTATGACTTAAGTCTTGTCTTTAGTAACGCACAAGAACTGTCTTAAGATTATAAGTCAAATCAGCCTTTTTGCTACGGCCCTTAAACGAGGTTTAACTTACTTTAAGTTAAACCTCGGTTAAAAGTTAACCATGAGTTGTGAAACTGGGCCTAAATAAGCCCTATGTAACCGTCGATTAGCTTAATTAACCGAGATTGGTGAAAGAGACCCTAAATTGATTTCCAGTATAACTATATATACTGATGCAGATATGTGATCGCAAACGAGAAGAGTGTTAATGATTAAAATCATAATGCGCGAGCCCTTTTGCATATATGTATATATTTCGATATTCATGTAGATATTGATTAATATATATTATTGAACGCTTTTCCAAAGAATCAAAAAGAAAGCTAGAATTTATTATATAAATAATAAGTAAATATTTACATTTTGTCACATCGCTCCACTTCCCCAGGATAACTCTTTGGATCTGCCACTGTAAATGAGATGGGATAATTATTCTTCAAACCCCCTTCCTGTCCTCTTTTGAGCGATCTACGTTGTTCTACGCATATACGTTATAACAACAACCATATTTGTAAATTTTTCGCTTTTCGTCTCGTTTGCAAGTAATTGGATCGGAGCGATCCGTTTGGATCCGTTGGGACTGTTGGGAGTACTGGACTGTGCGTTCCAAAACTCTATCTGTTCGGTCGTTCGGTCAATCCTATAGATAGATAGATAGATAGATCCTCGACTTAGGCCCGATTTCACAATATATGGTCAATATATGGTTACCTAAAGGTTAAAGATAATCAAGAAATTCATGAATGAATTTCATTGGTGAATCTGTTGGTAACCTTTAATCTTTAGGTAACCATATATTGTGAAAACGGGCCTTAAAGTGGTACACTGCGAGTGTACATATGTATGCAAGAATCAGTACGTATGTATGTATGCATGCATGCATGTATACAAGGTAATGCCTGAATGACATGCATATACATGAAGAGCAGAAGCGGCAGCGCAGTAGCGGCGGAGCAAGACGGAACGAGTCGGTGACGATCCGACTATCCGACATTTCGGATATTCGGAAAGGAGCGAGTGGGAACGAGCCGCGACTGCCGCGAGGCGACACAGACGCACTCGCTGTCAGCGCGAGAGCAAAGCGCGGTGGAATGAGAGCCGCCGCGCGGATTTTAACACTGACGTATCGATAAAATCTCCACTGTACGTACGCTTGAGAATACTTTTTCAATTTTGAAACAAATGCATTATATTCTGCCTCTATATATATATATATATATATATACACACACACATGTTGTATATATACATATACCATGCATATATATACCGCGCTAGAGTAAGGTTTTAGAACGCACAGCAGCTGATGCGTAAAGATGGCCTGTACCGATCATGATATTCATTGATATTCATCACGTTCACTGATGTTCACGATACGCAAGTGGATGGATAGGCTCACAGCATTATAGTTTCAGCAGCATTTGAATTATCTAACACTGTCTAACATGTAATATCGTAGTAAGCGAAAGTGAGAACGTAAACTGGAATTGTTTTCAATGAATGCAGACAAATTCGTCCGATCCCTCGACGGTGCCGACGGTGCCGACGACGACTCGGTCCCGACGGGGATGCGGAAACGTTTGTTTCGCCAGAGGAGCATCGAGAAAACAACGAGATGAGCGTGATAGGAAAAAGGGGACAGCGCGCGACGGGTATATTTTCTACGATGATGCTGCCGCAGTAAGACACTTTTTCAAAGTCTCTCTCTCTCTCTCACACACCGTAATTCACACTTATACCGCATGATAAACGCGCGACGGTATTGCTCAGGAAAATCTCTTTAATAAAATGTCCCTCATCTTTTTTTTTAGGCGACACTGCAAATATTGCAGCTATTATTATAGATATCACAGATGTCGTACATGCGATTAATATCAACAAGTAATTTCTCGAGAGTGGGTACTAAACACTCCAAATTTCTTTACTTGGTATAATGGCTTACGATTCACGTAACGTGAAATGTCCACCAAACACCCCGCAGCGGCCTAACGTGGTTGGATACAGTTATTCTGGCCATCCACCGCAGCATTTCCAGCAAACCGATGAAAATCGGAATGAAAACAATTTGCGCAGCAGCAAAGAACTTGGTCCACAAATCTCACAGCAGTCATCCAGCACGCAGACTGTGCAGAAAGTAGACGCTGCGACTATGACGGATCCCCTGCAAATTGATTTTAGGCTTTCCGAATGTCTGGCACGTTGCTCCAGTACGTTAGGTTTACCATACGCGACTAAATATGAGGACTGTGGTACAAATTCTACGTATCAAGAAGTAAGAGCAAAAATCGAATTTGATATCGAACCGCAGCATATTAACGGTGAGTCGCAGTTAATACTTTATACCGAAGCAATCTTTCGTTTGCAAGTTGTAATTGCATGCGATAAGATATTTATGGAAACGTGAAATGCTGAAAAATATTTGCCTCTGTTTCATTATCGACGATTCTATTTAACGTATAATATTCTTTGCCTATGTAAGGTATGTTGGTTTACCATTGCCCCGAGTGTGCATATAGATTTGACGATCGGGAGGCGCTTCACGAACATCTTGAAGATCACAAACAGAGACCACATATCTGTGATATTTGCGGGGCAAGTTTAAAACGAAAGGAACACTTGGATCGTCATAAGCAAGGTCATAATAAAGATAGACCGTATCAATGTAACATGTGTTGTAAAGCGTTTAAACGTAACGAGCACTTGGCACGTCATATGATTACTCACTCAGGTAGCAAAAATCAAATTTGTACCGAATGTGGCAAAGCTTTTTATAGAAAAGATCACTTGAAGAAACATTTGCAAAGTCATAATAGCAGTCGAGGCAAACACTTGAACATTTCACATAACAATCCCAACCATCAGCAGCCAAGCGACCAAGGATTGAGTAGTTTTGCTATGATGATGAGGCAATCTGGCCCTCCCGCACTTTCAATTTTACGGACATAGTTATTACGCTAGATTACGTAACGTGCGTTCATATCCCCGTCAACAAGTCATTTTTACTTTACTATTTAGATAATTTTACTCTATAAGCTTTAATACGCGAATGAGCCTTACTCCAACATACTCAACTTTGCGCGCGACAAGTACTTTCCTAGAGAATTTGTTATCGATATGAAAACCCATGTTCCTAAGGGAGTATACCTTATTGCTGTGTATTTTGTCAACAGGTAGATAAGATTACGATAATGTTATATACTGTTTTTGTAATCTCCTTTATAATACACTGTACGTGTAGAATGTTGTCTGTATATTAAGAATGTATCTGTTGGCATTTTTTGAAACTTGAACAAGTTCGGCATTAATTCCAAGTGATAAATGACATATTTTACTTTATCGCATTATTCCTGGTCCTCTTTTACTCTTGCGGAAGAAACATTGGAAAAACCGGAATATCCGATATAAATTTCACTTCCACCACATACCGACAGCTACTTATATTATCGTCATCTACATTGAGACTCGGTTCTTAAACAGAATTGAGTTTGAGATTTAGTTTTTCTTTAGTGCTTCTTATCTGAAGCGATATTCTTCGTTTCTTCAAGAGATCAATTTCCAAACGTAGGCATTACAAGACAATAGAAATGAATCGTGAAATGCGTTAAATGTCTACCTAAGCGGAGGAGAAAGAATAATGTCAATATAATTTGACAATATCACACAATAATATGTTGCTTCTACGAGTCGTCAATTTTCCTTTACTTCTCCTTTGCTTATAAAGTAAGAAATTGAGAGGCAGAATAACGTCACGTTGTAACAATATTTCTAATGCATACACACACACACACACACACACACACACACACACAGGGTGTTCCCATTTCAAATAATGCATTAAGATTTCTCGAAAATTATGGTAGAACGGAAAAATGTTTCAAACAAAAGTTGTATGGTTCAGAGGGGGATGTTGTTCAGGATCGTGTTCTGGATAACATTCGTCAAAATCAAGGTCATTAGAGGTTGTACCTCTTATTTTTACGTAAAAATGAATTTTTAGTGCAAAAATGAAAATAAGAGGAATAATCTCCAATGGTCTTGAACTTGACGAACGTTATCCAGGACATGATCCTGAACAACATTCAAGAGGATTTAGCCGTCGGTCGGACACCTTGCGTAATGCCGGCTATACTGTAACTTTCGAGCTTTATAACTCGAAAAATATTTAATGGAACAATATTTTATTATAGTGTTTTGTAAAGCTCTCGAGGTAAGCTATAAGAAAATGTTATGAAAAATAGGAGGTTCCATTTAAAAAAATCGACGTGACCTTGACCTAGCCGTGGTGACGCCATCCAAGGTCAAATCAATGGTATCTTCTTATACGGCTATACTGTAACTTTCGAGCTTTATAACTCGAAAAATATTTAATGGAACAATATTTTATTATAGTGTTTTGTAAAGCTCTCGAGGTAAGCTATAAGAAAATGTTATGAAAAATAGGAGGTTCCATTTAAAAAAATCGACGTGACCTTGACCTAGCCGTGGTGACGCCATCCAAGGTCAAATCAATGGTATCTTCTTATGTTTCCCTCTGAACCATACAACTTTTCTTTGAAACATTTTTCCGTATCCACCATAGTTTTCGAGAAATCTTAATGCATTATTTAAAATGGGACACCCTTATATAAGTGTGTGTGTGTGTGCGTGTGCGTGTGTGTGTACACATAAATACAAATCTGTAATTTTCTTTACATCTTTTTGTGAATTATTAAATATTTCTGTCGGGTATTTAGAATAATTTATACAATAAGTTTGCACGGTGATTAATAAGAAAGCGTAATAGTATAGTATTTTTGCAATTTGTAGCAAGACTATTAACAGATTATTGTTGTAGAGAGCATTCTGTAGTGAAGAATGAAAATATCACCTACAGTAGGTTGATACATATCTATAAATAAAAATTATCGTTACTTGAGATGAGAGGAAGAATGATATTTATCTACATATGTATTTATATACATATGTATTGTTAAAAATAATTTTATGTCTTTCACAAAGTTTTGTTAGTATATGAAATAATCCCGTCTCATTCTACTTTCGTAATTGCGCGAAGAGAATATATTTGAATATATCCGAATGTTTATTCTACGAAAGAGAAGCCATAAGATTATGACGTCGCTTCCATTTCCAATATTGGTAATACGGTTAATAATACGGTTAAATCCATTGTAAGGTTCCATATACATTGCATTTATATGAAAATTTGTAATTTTATTGGCATTTTCTTATTATATCGCTAAGTTGCGCTTTTGTATATTGCATTCAGACATGCACACACGGACACAAACGTATGTACGAGAGAAGAACAGGATCTAAAAGTCCCTGAAGAGGAAATGATAGCATTTTGTCATTAACGCAATAATCATAATTAAATTAATAAATGATTATTATATAAAAATATCTACCTTGTTTATATAATATACAGTTATTGGAAATGCAAAAACGCATATTTAAATCGGTCGACAGTTTTAGTGTCACTCGCGCACAAGAACAGAAAAGATAGAAAGCAACGGCAGGAAAGGGAGAGAGAGAGAGAGAGAGAGAGAGAGAGAGAGAGAGAGCCGAATTTTTTTCGGGTAACAACACTCCGAACAATAAATCTGATGACTCTTCTTACAATTTATATGCATACATATACATATGTATATACATGTATGTACATACATAATATATGTATATAACGAATTGTAAGAAAAAATGTACGTCACGCATTTTCATGGATACACATACATCTATGTGTATGTGTGCGTGGGCGCGCGCGATTTGTGCATCGAATATGATGTATCATAAGGATATTCATTTGAAACATCTGAAAAATGTGCACAAATTTTAGACTCTCAGTCTCGCGATCTAAATTTATCCGCTTTCTAATATATACTATGAGTTTTTCAGAACATTTTTCTTTTTTTATTATCTAACGCTCTTTTATTTTCCGCGTCTATTCATTTTCTCATTTCACATTCTTTAGGCCGCAGCACAAACTTTTGCATAACGCATAGTGCATAAGAAAATCAACCAATCAAAGTTCCTCTTTTCCATGGAATGGGAGGAAAGGAAAGATTCTGATTAGTTGATTCGTGCATATGCACTATGCGTTATGCAAAAGTCTGTGCTGCGGCCATTAGACTCGATAGACATTTTAAGCATTCTATATAAAAATAAAACATTGACGTTATATCAGAAAGTCGCTTAGTTATATTTCTTTCTCGTTTAATACATTTGTCTTTTCCTTTTTTTTCTCCTCACTACCCTTCTGTGCTCGTTCATTATGTATTAATTTTTAATTTACATACAACGCGTATAATTAGTATTTTTGTACCCTGGAAGACTATGCGGTACAAATGTTCAACTAAAATGGTGCAGCAATGTAGAAAATGTAAATTAAATCGTAAAATGCGAATTAAAATAGTTTAAACGAAAGAATCGGTCGAAACATTTAGAAGAGATTTACAAAGCCATCGGTGTAATGTGACAATTTGCCGGGAGTCCTCGAAGTCACTTCGCGTTTGCATTCGTGTGTATAGTACCTATATTAATTATTAAACTAAAAAACTTTCAGCATCCTCTTCTTTCTTTTCTCAAATTTATGTTTATTGCTTCGATAATATCAAGTAAAAAGAGTAGCATTTGGAGTGAGAATTATAGGAAGGCTCGTAGATGATAAGCAAGACGAAAAAAGTTATGGAGATTATATTTAAAATTTGTTTCGAAAATACAAACTGAATCGAGCACTCAACATCTGAATGTATCGCATTGTAAAGACTCGTTCGTGTTTGCATCCTACATAAAACATACTTGTATTTCGGAAAAGATCATACTGCTATTGGACAAAAAGGAATTCGTACTTCGAGGTCAGCCGGTCGTTTCACTCGTATGACTTGTACACCTTGTCACGCATCTAATCTATCTGAGAAAAACAAGAATTTGTGAGCGTTTGTACTATGTCGAGGAATTTGTTTGTTTTTTCGTCAATCGCCTGTGTTAACATATTTGTGTTACATAAACTTTGTAATTACACATACGTAATCACGCATACACTCGTAGCACACACTCATAGCGACAAGGCGTCGATTAAAGATAAGCCAAAAAGACTAAACGTAATAATAACGACGCGTCTTGGTCTATGCAAAATCTTCCATTGAACGCGAGATGCTCTTATTGGCTATATTTAGTATATTATGCAAATTCATTCCGCAAAAAGTGACTGCTTTAGAAAATCTTCGACAAATAGGAAATAGTTTTAATAGCAAGCAGTAACGCGCGTTCATCCCTCCAACTTTTGTTTTTTGCACGAACCAATGAATAAAATTACACTCGCACTTGCAATACTCGCGTCTTGTGATGGGACAAATTCACTTTTCTTTCCTTTTCTTTGCCCTATGCCCTATATAGCTTCAATACAGATAATTGAAAGTTTTGATACTGCACATAGAAAAATATGTTTCTCATTATCATCTCTGCTCCTGAGAGATTCACATCCGAGTACATCGAAATGGTGTCACGCTCTTTTCTTTTTTTTTTTTATTTTTTTACTACCCTTGTCAAATAGTTTTTATGACGATTAATTAGTTTTTAAATAGTCGTCTTTATACGATCTACCATTCATCGATATATTCGCAGTTTGTAACAAATGAATCGATAAACAAAATAGTAGATTGACAACAATAAAAAAAATACTTTACAGGTATGCGTACATTTGTGGCAAGAGAGCGGAAGAGAAAAATGCCAAATTATTTAGCATTATTCGCGCTTCGAGCAGATTATAAAAGAGTACTCACGGATTTCACATCGTAAGACGGTAAATTATTAAACGATTGTGAACATATGAAGGAAATAAGCTACGTATTATACATAATTCACATCGAACGTAAACCATTGCCGACTTGAAAAGTCGTTTAGTCTTTCTGTTTTTTTTTTTTTGCGGTTTCGCATAAAACTAGTAAGCGCGTCGCAAGAGAATCGGATCTTATTTTCTCTATGTTGCTTCTAATCTTACTATTATCATTATTGTTATTATTACTAACATTATTATTGTTTTGTTATTAATATTATTATGATTATTGTTATTACTATGAGTTTATTATCATCATCATCATCATCATCATCATCAGCAGCAGCAGCATCATCACCTTCTATAAAACTCATATATCTTCTTAATTGATCGCTTCCAATTGAGATAAGAAAATCAAGTATAAGATGTCACCGAGACATCTTAGTCGAACCGAAATATCAAATAGAGAACGAGCGTGCCTAATACTTCATAGAAATGGCATTTCTATTCGATAACCGTTTTGTTTCTTATAATTATTAAAATTAATCAACATTCGATTTGAGAAAAAATGAATCGAATATACATTATATTTTCTTTCGGGAGAGAAAAAGGCACTAAACGAAATAAATGGCATTCTCGTTCATCGAATACGATGAACGCATTCGCAGCATATGGTACAGGTAAATTGTATTTATTCCTTTTGGCTTTCGAATTGGTTTTCGATTTTTTGAAATTAAGAAATCCTGCATCGCCAGGTGGTACGAAGTATACTTGATAATCAAAGATATGACATGTTATATTCCGGAATCCTGATAATATTTTGACGCTTGCAGTTGCAGAAAAAGTATAAGAAACAAAAACGAAGAAGATGGTTGCTCGAACCAACATCGTGGAGGCGGACGAGTGTACACGTAGTTCCGAGAACGGAGAGGCACAACGCGCCGCTTTTTCGACTTAGACCTTATCATGGAAAACTATACGGGTGCGGAAAATCCAGCGCAATATAAAGGCACCGGAAAAGTATTCCTTCATTTCTTTTTTTTTTTTTTTTAGAAACGCATCAACTATTATCTTTCCTTTTTCTACAGGAACATTACTACATCTATGCAGCTCGACGAAACGATCGCTTCTATAAACCATAAGAATAAACTCGCCTCGTCGAGAATGGAAATAGGTTTTTTTTCAGCTATCCTTCAAAATAGATCTTGAGCCATTCATTTGTTTGAACAGTATGTCGAACTTTGGAAATATTTGCTTCTTTCTCTCATCCGCTTTCCTTTCTCCTCTCTCTCTCTCTCTCTCCCTCCCTCTCTTATAAAGCTATTTATTTTTTTCTTCTCGTTATCTTTCATCTTTCATTTCATTATTTGTATATCCTGCCTACTATCTGCAAATAAAACAAGTTACTTTCCTCAAGACTTGTATCATTTCCATACAATATATTCTCGTCGTTTCTTCCCACGTGTAGGACGTATGATAAATCTCGCGCTCTTTTTCCAAGTATCAGAGGACATTCAAAAGATGACAATAGTGATCAAAATAGATCAAAATAGACGTCACTACGTCGTCTTTCTATGTCATTCTATTACTGGACTATAGCTTTCGTCTCAACAAAAAATTGATTCGGCGGCATATGTATTCCAATTGTCTATCTTTAAGCAGTTCGATAAATGATCTCTAAATTAAAAGACTATTAAAGGTCATATAATAACATAATTTTCTCTAATTAAAAATTAATTTTTTATAAGCTTTTCTTTTTGAGATGTTCTTACACACACCTCTAGAACTGTCATATACTTTGCGTTACAAGAAAAATTCTGTATACATCTTAAACCTTTTCTCAACAAATTTAAAAAAAAAGTGCGCGATATTTGACACGTCCCGCGTACAGATTTTTGTTTTCTTCTGTTTTTCTCTTTCTTATCTAATAGTATGTATATCTGTATATAAATTCTTACTCGCTAATGTATAATTTAAGACTAACGCTCTGCCTCGACAGTTATAAGTACGTGGCAATGAAATATCTCTTACATATGGTTTTTAGTATACACATGTATATATACCAGTGTATGAAATAATTGTAATATATCATTATATTTGAGGTCTGACGAAACCTGAATTTTCTGTTACTCAAAACGCAATTTATGTTAGAGATATGATGAAAAAGATACGAAAAAAGGTGCATTCAAATAATCTTTTAAGCGTAATTGCAAACAGTGGATACTGTAATTACATTGCAAACTCGTATCTTTATAAGCGTTCTAATAAACATTCTGTTTGTAAATTATAAAATATTTTAATACCGATATATAATTTTTTCAATAAAGCTTAGCAAAGTTTTAATCGACAGAGATACACAATTGTACATTCGGAATTTTTATTTCGGTAATACGTAGTATAAAGGTAAATTCTCTTATATTTCTCATCATATTTCTAACATTTCACGTCGCAGTATGCATGTTATATAATATATACACACACGTCCGCCGTTCGTTTCTTCTCTATAATATTTATGAATATATATAAAGATAAATAATAATTGTAATAATAACAATAATGATAATAATAAGAAATAATAACAATGACAACGACAATGATGATGATAATAATTTGTAAATAATATGTATGTGTGTGTGAAATGTGCGTAACCATGCACACAGCGGTACCTATGATTATATAAGTATCTGACAAATATCTATTAGTATGGCAAGAAAAAAATTGAAAGGAAATAAATTTAAAATGAATGGCACGAACATTAATACTAAAATGAGACAAAAATATAAACTTAAAACACAGATAATTGATAATTACATCAGATGTCCACTGTCGGGAACGATCACAGTCTGTGAAGAGATTTGCAATGTGGATAAATATAAAAATTAAAAACTACTTTAAACACACACAAACTACTTTAAACACACACATACACACGCACACAAACACGCACGCACGCACACACACATACGCACGTATATCTTATACTTAAAAATTACATATTTAAAAAATTAATCTTATGTATATATAGTATCTCTATATATATATATAATCAGTATTCAACGAATGTAACGAATATAAGAAGTCCAACGAAAAATATGTATAAAAACAATGTAAAAAGTTATATAAAAATTATAAGGGCTAATTAAACATGACAAATGCTCAATACTATGATAAGTCATAAAGGAAAATAAGGAATATATTTGCTCCAATTATTTGGGCAAATATGTTTGGATTTACATGTAATATTATACACATATAGATCCTGCATACAACCTACACATCCACACGTATGCACGCGCACGCACACACAAGAGAAAAATTTAGACTATCATAAAAAATATAAAATACTGTCAACTTTATATTATATATTAAACTAAGTTTTAATAAAACAAAATATGATTTTTATCTATCATGAAATATTGCTATGCTTTTACATTTTTCTAAAGCATAACTAAAAAATTTTACAATTAATATAAATAATCTTTTCCCTTTATGAACTAAAAAAATGAAATAATTCTACTCTTTCATAAAATAAAAAATTGTTTTCTAATCGGTGGGTTAACTTGTAACTCTCTATTATAATGTGTATTAGGAATATTATTTAATTTTTATTCCTTTTACACTATTTGCACTTGTAATGTTGTTTAACAAAAAATTAAAAATATTGACAATTACCGCACATATCACTTACCGCTCATATGAATGTAAATTCAATGATATAAAAAAACAAAATAAAGAGATGTGTATCTCCCTTACACACGCACACACGCATGCACTCTCTCTCTCTCTCTCTCTCTCTCTCTCTCTCTCTCTCATCGAATCACTTAGTTTCTAAGTTACATCGACTTTTCATAAAAATATCTTCTTTTTCCTCGTCGTACACGACGTATGGCAAGAATTTTTGACTTGTAGTCAAATTTCTACTCTAGAGTTTCCGTGGAAAATTAGTACTTTTCCCACATATGTACTTTTTGTTTGTGCTATAAAGAGCATATAAGTGTCTATGACTGTTTTTTATTTTTTATATATTATTATTTCGAAAAAAGCATTTTTTTCTAAAAGATACGCTTTATTATATCTTGCGAATTGCTCCTATATTACATTTATAAATACAGGATGTCCAATTATATAATCAATGAAGTAAAACTTTTTTCAAAACTCATAACACATATAATTGAATAAAATAAATAACACTTTTATATTAAATAAGTTTGTAATATGTATTTTGTATAAACTTGATTGCTGATGGCTTTTCCATAATACTATTATATATGCAAAATGACTAGAAAAATTAATTATGTGAAAAAACGTTACGTTCCATATCTAAAAAGAAAAAAAATCTTAATAAAAGTGATCTCGAGTTTGTTCAATTTTCATCTAGATAAACATTATCTTTATAAAATAATTTTTCTTTTGCAAAATGAAACAATGTAAAAAGAAATATATCAGCCTAGGGGAAGAATTATTATAATTGGACATCTCTTGTATTTGCGTAAAATATTATCATGTCTCTTGATGTATAGCATTATTGTGGTAGAACGTTACTGGCAATGAAAATTACATGACAAATATAACAAGTTGTCAAGTTAAAAATAAATTAAAACTTGTAGAAGGAATGAGACATCACTTTCCTCCCCTTCCCTATTGTATTGACAAGACAAAGCGAGGAGGATGTTAGAAGCACAAATAACGTAAATACATTCATAAAATTCATTCAATTCAAATCAGGAGTCAGTCTCAGAGCTATAATTATTATCGTCGTTGGTGATGATAATGACAATTGATTAGCATCTTGGTGTTACCTCTTCATCGAGGTCCTCTCCTCGTCTCAGAAATCTTTAACGTGTCCCAAAAAGCTAAGTTCATGTGACTGATAATGAGCAGATGTAGCGAGTGGTGTGACACTTGATTGATGTGCTACATTTACTGCCGTTAGATGATGATGATGCAGCGAATGATGCGATGTATGAGTATGAAGAATATTATTTGGATGGGGAACCTGAAAGTTCCCTGGTGGCGGGGCTCAGGACAGGAGGGAACCCGGATGTCCACCCGGAAGAACGGATGACGCTGAGACAGTAGTGGTTTGCATCGTCGAAACATTATTTTGTTGTTGATTCTGTTGCGTACCTGCAACACAAATATCATATATCATGTTGATGGTATAATGTGAGAAGAGGAATAGGGAAGAATGATTTTAAGCTCACATTTGATATCTCTATTGATGTAAATACTTTTCGTAGATTGAAGATTTGTAGAAGGGACTACGGCAGAGCGGTAAGAATGATAACGGGCTATTCATTTAATAATGCTTTCCTATATAAAATAGGCTGTAAAACTGATCCAAGTTGTGACTGTGGTTTTGAATTTTTTTGGGCCTGTCCCAGGATCATCGATCCTGAGATCAGGAACGAGTTAATATAGTCGTTAAAATAGTAATTTTTCTAAATAAGAGTAATCTTAAGATTTCAGTGTAGAATTAGTCATATATGCGCGATCTTTTGCCCATGAGAAATTTCATCCCTAGATCACCTCAGATCACCTGTATGACGATTGAGGCGACCTCTGGAGCCTCTCTATCTTCGTATGAGCGAAGTGTTATTTAGAAAACTCTGGGACAATTGCTCGATATAAACTCAAGAATATATATGAAGAAATTTAAGCGGAATCTCTGCCCCCGAAGAGATTTAACCGTAATGGATCGTAAGGTCAAAGCAACGCATGGTACTGTGACCCAATAATAGGGTCGGAAATCCATACAGGGGAATTTAAGAAGAAGATATCTCGTACAATACGTAATGCACTTCTTACCAGCGTTTTGACTTAATTCAGCCTTCACTCTTCTCGCAATGTGACTTCTGGTATGTTTCCGTAAATGATCCTTCCGATAAAATCCTTTGCCACATTCAGTGCACACGTGTCGCTTCTCCCCAGAATGTATTACAAAATGTAGCGTTAATTGTTCCTTTCTTTTAAAAGCTTTCAAGCAAACGGTGCAAACGTAAGGTCGTTCAGGATTGTGGCTCTGTTTATGACGCGTAAGATGATCTTTTCGTTTCAAGCCAGCGCCACATATGTCACAAACAAATCTTCTTTCTAAAGTGTGACCTAAAAGATGCTGCTCTAACAATTCTCGTTCCGGATACGCCATATGGCATTCTGGACAACAATATAACGTCGAGCCGTCCAACGCTGTCGTTAAACGAATTTCGCCAGGTTTCGGACGTGGCTTCTTCTCTTTCGGCGTCTTCTTCTTTTTCTTCTTTTTATTATTCGGCGACATCATTATATTGGGCGTTGTCGTAGTCGCCACAGCCACCGAGGTTGTTTGCGCCATCTCCGACTCTTTTTTGATACTTTCGGCAGAATACTTGAGAAAATGATGTAAACTCAATGGCAAAGTGCTAGCCGGTAAATGGCTGAGATAATCAGCTACAGTGGAACCAGGAGTTGCGAGCGACTGCCACGTTGCGGGCATAGTAGCTGGCGTCTGAGTATGAGCGTGCTGTTGATGATGTTGGTGCATCGTATAATCCTGTTGAGTGCCATTCGTCGTAGTCTCTCCATTCCGCTGTTGCTCCTCAGCCTTCTTCTCCTTGCTCTTGTCTTTGTCTTGAAGAAGGTTGCAAACATCTTGTTGATTTATGGTTTCGGTGGATTGCTACGTGACAGAAGAATACGTATATGAATAAGAATACGCTTAAAATTCAAAAGCTCCATCGTTCTTGTAGCGATAAACGAATAACCCATCAATTAAACGTTTGATCCTGTTTATCATTCCGATATATAATCAATATTATATTCCATTTTACACTATTCTTGTAATGATTCTGATAGAAAAATTTACGGAGCTCTTTAATCGATGGAGAGACCGTACGTTTTCATGCCACGTAAACTGCTGAAGAATGATAAGAACAGAGAAAAAGTTTTTGGTCGATTGTTACGACGATCGCAATCTCTCTCACCTTGATCATACCAATTTGCGAATGTACGACAATAATTAAAAACAAAATAAGGAAGTGGAACGACGCGCGATCGACGAGGGAGTTAGGTAAGTGTAAAAGTAAAGATGCAAATATAAATACGTTCGTTAGAATTGAAATAAAAGGGCTCGAATAAGAAAAGTTGCCTGCGTTTTACCTGATGATACGATCGTTTCTCTTGCATTCCAGGCGAGTTGGTTGGTCGTTGTTGAACCGACTGAGCTTGAGTGTACGGCACATTCGGATAATGATGAACATTAGAACTGTTGGGATAGCTAACTTTATTGTTCATCATTACTTGCGACTGGGCCGACTGTACGCCGTTGTTCTCAGGACGGTATTTTCCCACAACCGGCACTCCGATCGGAGGCTGGTTGGGAAAATGATTGGCGTAACGCGCGCCTGCACCACTGGAACTATCGGTCGCAAATTGATGGATACTCGGTATAGTGCTAGGGAAGTGACCTCCGAACGGTGGGAAATTCATTGCAGACCGTAAGCAGAATTCGTGTATCTAGAAAAGGAGAAAAGTCTGATGAGTGTCTTTGGAGCAAGTGAAATTTTTGAATACGAAAAATTCAAGGTTACTATTATTAGGTGCGAGGGAGACGTATCTCCTCAAGAGCCAAGTTTTGAGAGAGAAATAAACGCGAATGGACCCGCGTGGAAGCGAGCCGAGAGGCCGTCGCCGCCGCGCCGGCCGCGTTCCAAATCGCTCCGTGTTCGCATCGCGTACCTCTACGCATGCCGATGCAACGGCATCTCGACTCGCTGGCATAACTTTGTCTCTATGTAAAGACGCGGCGACAGCGGAGGAAGAGGAGGTGGCAGAGGCGGGAGCGGTGGCGGTAGCGGTGGCGCCGACGATACCGATGACGACGACGACGACGACGACGACGACGATGATGACGACGATGACGATGACGACACCGAGCGACGCCCGGCGTTATATTTACTCACAACGATGTCCCTCTCCCCATGTTTCCTCGCCGTACCGGATCCTTCCTTCGCACCTCTTCGGACGAGATTCCTGCGATCTGTGATAGAGACGAGAGTGCGGGGCCAGATTCTTCTCGGTCTCGCACGTGAGTGGTGAGGATACGTCGGAGAAAGAGAGCGGGAGGGAGACGGCGAGAATGAGACGCACAGAAGCTGTGCGTCAAAGCGCGTCGTCGCGCCGCGCCGCGTCGCGTTGCGTCGCGTTGCGTCGCGTCGCGTCGCGTCGCGTCGGTAGACACGCCACACTATCGTCGGATCGTCGATCCGTACGACTCGTCCACGACGAGTACGCGGCGGCTCGTATCCCAAGCAACTGAACACTGACAACCGGACAACCTGACGTACGACTGTCAACCGACGACCAAGGCGATTCGCGGCCAAGAACACGCCACCCCTCTTGTTCGCGCAACAAACGTCAACGAACGTGGTCTACCGGGCTTGACCGGGCTGCACCGCTGCACTCGAGAACGTGCCGACGAAAAAAAAAGGATGCGACTAAAAAAAAAACCGCCGACGGGCGACGAAAGATAGTCGCGGAAGACGGGGTGCACGCGCGCGCGCGCGTGCGGAGGGGAGGTCGATTGTCAAGGGGACACGTTACACGCGTAGGGAGTTAGGGACGCAACCGCCTGAACCGCCTGAACCGCCATCCGCCATCCTCCTTCCTCCTCCCACCTCTCTTCGCCGCCTTTTCCGCGCCCCACCTCGTCCGATACTTAGTCGATACGCCATACGCAGCGTGGCGTGGGACGGTCGGACGATGGAACCATCACCGTATCAACCGTATCAAACTCGAAAGAAAATGGCCGTGCGTACGATTCTCAGTCGCACTCGCGCGTACCACGCGCGCAGCCGAAATAAAAGTAAAAGATATGGGGGAATGTGTCGCTTACCATTCGGTAATCCTCGCTCGAACTCGCCTGGAACGTTTTTTCCACGCAACCGGCTGTCGCCGAAAAAGATTTCTCGTACGGTGTCAGTACAGTTGACACCTGTCTCTCAAGCCGGTGCCCGTGCCCCCATCCCACCTATCCGCCCTCTACTGTGCCAGCCTCTTAACTATTTTTTCTCTCTCCCGGATCTCCCGACTCCCGACGCGACATCGCACACCCCACCGGCGCCGCGACGTGAACGGGGCGAAAATACCCGAATCGTGAGCAACAAGAATCTTAATTTGCACCTTTTCCCGCCGATACGCCGTTACATCCCCTCTACGATAGATTTGGATAGACTCACCCTTGCTTTCGCATCTCTCTCTCGAGATACACGTATCTACACGTATACACGCGCGCACGCACACACCACACACACAACTTGACATCCAACGAAATTATTTATAAAGGAAAGGGTAACGTGTACGCGTGAATCTCATAGAGAGCCGAGGCGAGAATAATTTTGTATTAAATGTATGTTTTATTTCAGTTTTCTCCTCCAATATTTATGTAAGTAACAATGAAAATTACTTATATACTACTTATCCTAACTACGATAATGGTATATATATCTGTATAATATTATGATAATAAAATAATAATATTTCTTGTACAGTTACCCATTGCCTTTAATTGTGATACTTACAATAAGAAGTTTTTTTCATGTATACATACACCTTTATAAAAAAGCTTTTTCAGGTGAATCACGATTCATCGATTTGGTTAACATTCGAGGATTTTAGTTTTCTATACTTTGTTATCTTCATTTTCATATTCTTTAAGAGTTCGATCGAAACTGTTGCCGAAACTGAATCGAAACACTCGACTATGATGTCAATTTTCACCGAAACCGAAACCAAAATTAAAAAATAGAAATCCTATAAAGGCCTATATACATGTATAGATACGTCTATATATCATATAGTTTTTCTTCAGGTATCATAATTTATATTGACAATAATTAAATTTCGACCGAAATCGGAAACCGAAATTTCAGTTGTGTGTCAACTTTTAACTTATCGAAGAATACACAAGTACTTCTTCTTCATAAACATCATAATTTAATTATTGAAACGATAATTAACATACATATATTAAAATTAATATTTATCAAGAGTTATGTGGTTTCAGTCGAAACTGACACGTTAATGGAGCGTTCGTTTTCAGTTTCGATAAAAGTTTCGGTCGGACTCTATATATTCTTTTATATACCTATTATCGTATCATTTACGTGCCCAATTGAGAGGAATTCACGCAAGTACTTCGCATTTGTCCGTAACGATCCTACGACGTGCAAGTTTGCTTCTTTTTGCGCGAACATCGATATTAAATCAAGATGAATCCATCCTTCGCGGATTGCGAAGAATTATTATCGATTGTAGAAATCGATTGTTGATTTCAGAGTAGCGTGCGTCGTTACGCGTAATTCAATAATTTTTTTCGTAATTATTATCCCCTTCCCTACCATTTCTGAAAAAGTACTAAACGTTATGGGTTCTTTATATGTAATTCTACCACCAACTCGTTATTCGTACGGCACGAGTTCGATCCTCCCCAACACTTTGCGTCTTTGCATCTTTATGAAGGCAACATATGCAATGATCTAAATTATAGAAAAATGTAAGCATGCTCTTCCGTTGATATATTCCTACAAAATACAAATTGGACTTACGATTTATCTCGGCAGATTCCCTTGTAATGTCACGATTGTATTGCATAAGAGAAATAAATAGGTTCACCTCGCGCATACGGGCACGTACCAATATTACATTTCCTCTCACATTCATGAAAAGTCGCATCGTGTATTTACAAACTCTGTTCCATGTCGTATTTCTCTCGCGTTAATTCTTTCATTACGTATTTTTTATCATCGTCGTAAAAGCGAATTATCGTTCAAATATAATCGAATTATTATTATTATTATTATTATTATTATTATTATTATTAGCCCAAAACTCGATCGCCATGTTACCTTGGGCGAATCCAGTTCGCGCTTTCAAAAATATATATTTTTGTTTTTGTGTGTGTGTGTGTGTATATCTATGTATATATATATATTTATATATTTATATATATAAACTTCATATTTATTTCTAACTTGCGTCATGGAACTGGATTAGCGACAAAAACAATCTTATTTGAGGCGAGCGGCGACTGTCGCTTCTTTCCACGTACGCTACAACGTGTACGTAAAAGAGAAATTCGTGTATACGCATTTTGTCACTTCAGCTCTCGACACGCTTTACAAGATAATCATTATATAAACACGTACGCGAGCTTGTGCCGTGATTAAAGGTGGTTCAAACCGATGGCGCGATCATTTCAATTCTAACAAACTGGCTTTGTGTCGATGGACAAGGTACATCTTAAAGAAATGGAGGTGTTTCAAATGCCTTTGAAAGAGACTACAATGAAGTAATCGATAATCAACTAGCCAACGAAACTTTCGTCTGATAACATGAATTTTCCTATCGAATTTGCAAAACTCAATCAGCGAGTACACTCTGTCGTGTACGACATCTAGCGTGCTGATGATTGAAACGAAAGTACCGCCCAAGTTGATTTGGGGCGGTATGCTGTTGCTAATGCTGTTGCTGTTGCTGTTGCTGCTGCTGCTGTTGCGGCTGCTGCTGCGACTGTTGCGACTGTTGCTGCTGCTGTTGCTGCGACTGCTGCTGCTGTTGCTGCTGCTGCTGCTGCTGCAATGATGTAGCATCGTCATAGCTCCAGTTTCAGCCGCTGTAGGCAAAACTACGGTGGACTGTTCATTGACAGATATCTGGTGAATCTGCGCTTGGGATCCTTGTCCTACTTGTATCTGAATTTGCTGCAATTCGGGCACCGACGACTGTTGTTGTATTTGTTCCACTTGTTGGTCCGCCTGTTGTTGATTCTGCGTCGTATCATTCGTCGTATTCAATGGATCTTCCTTGGCACGCTTAGTAAGGTGAGATCTCGCGTGCTTTCTAAGGTGGTCTTTCCGATAGAATGCTTTGCCGCATTCGGTGCAAACTTCGGTCTTTTGCCCAGAATGTATAACAAAATGAAGATTCAAGTGCTCTTTTCGTTTAAAGCCCTTCATGCAAACGGAACAAATGAAAGGCCTATCGGGATTATGGCCTAATTTGTGCCGCTCCAAATGTTCCTTTCGTTTAAGACCAGCGCCGCAAATGTCGCATATAAATCTCCTCTCTATTTTATGTCCAATCAAATGCTGCTCCAAACTTTCCTTCTCTGGATACGCCATATTACATTGAGGGCAGCAAAATAGGGTGGTGCCATCGAGAGCGGTGACTATGCTCACTTGTCCTGGTTTTGGTTTCTTCGGTTTCGGTGGTTTCTTTTTGTATTTTTTTTTCCGCTTCGGTTTCGCTCCTGGCTCCTGTTCTTCGACAACGTCAGGAATGATGGCCGTTTCACTTCCGGCGACTGTAATCTGCACAGCTTGCTCTCCCGAAGCTGTACTTCCGGAAGCATCGAGACCATCCGGTCCGAGCGGACTGGATTCAATGGTAGCTTCCCTTTTAATAGTTTCCGCCGAAAACTTGAGAAAATGTTGCAAACTAAGAGGCAAAGTACTCGTTGGCAGTCTAGAGAGATAATCTGCGACCGTGGATCCTGGAGTAGCGAGACTCTGCCAACTGGCAGGCATAGAAGTAATGAATTCTTCCCCACTCTGATTACCTTGACTCTTGACACTGCCTCGTTTAATAAGAGCCACGGGTGTCGTACCCTCCTTAACGTCCTCCTTGGACTCCTCTATGCTCTCTCGTAAAATCAAGTCTTGAGGAATCTGAGCAACTACAGTCAGACCTTCGGGCGCTCCCGGAAGTTGTACCGTCTGTTGAATAGTCTGTTGAGACGTAGTGGTCACGGCGGTAGACGTACTTTGTGTCGTTTGATCAGACCTGCAATCGAGTATCGGACAATCGGATTAAATCTTTTCTTCTTTTTCTTTTTTTAAATTTGTCTTAAAAAATTGTCCTTTTGCAATTTGTGCAAAATGTAATACGACATCGTAATACGCGAGTTACAGAATGTACTTACGAATACACTTACGTTTGCGTAGTCGCTACGGTGTTTTGCGGTTGTACTTGAATTTGAACACCATCCGCGCCTTGCTGACTGTAGGCAACAGTGAGAACGGTAGCTGCTCCCTGTGGAAACTGACTGAGGGATATCGGTGCCAAATGATACTTTGGCTGATCGCCGCTATTTCCGCTTTGAGACACGCTAGGGTTGACCACTTGTATTTGGACAGTCTGCTGTTGCTGCGTACCATCTTTTCCCGGAACAGTGATAGGCAAAGTAATAATTTGTTGTTGTTGACTATTACCGCTCTGAGCCACAGCAAAGCCATTCGGATCGACCGGTCTCAAATAATGAACTCCACCTTCACCACCGGACAAAACTCCGACCACCTGTCCTCCGGTGGTAAGATTCTGCGCGAATTTCGCTGTGGCGAATTGATGAACGGTGCCGGTCGGCAACGAGCCAGTAAATCCAGGGAAAGGCGTGAAATTCATTGTTCGAATTTTCGACGATCACACCTGTAACAGAAAAAGACGCATTCTCGTTATTTCAGCAATCGATTAGAAAGTTTGTTTTACCTCTAAAATTCAACATTGACACGTTTTCAAGAAAAGGTATAACCCGTTATTGCTACTCTCTCCGAGAGATTACGAGGTGGTTGACTATTTGGAAGACCAATTGGATTGACTAATTGGAAGACACTATTATAATACTATAGGACAGCTCGGAAATTAATAAATTTTTGTTTTTGATACATGTGTATATATATTTACGTTTGATATATGTTGGATGCGCGCGATTACAAATATGTAAAAACATCAATTGTAGACAGGCAGAGACGTACGATGCAGCCTACAATAGGTAAATGAGAAATCACATATGTATGTGCTAAAAAAGTCGGTAAGAATTTATCCAAACGTGTGTAACAGGTTTTTATTCATTTCTCATTTATTTCCATCGAATTTATGGTATATACGAATACACATATCGGAAAGATTTATTTAAATCAATTATTTGTAGAATCTAACAATGGAACGTATCCACACAAAACTTGAATCTATCAACACAAGGATGCTCATGCTTTTAGAATATTCCATTTGACAGTAACAAAAGTGTAACATTTGAGTTGCCACACACACGTACGCACGCACGCACGCACGCACGCACGCACGCACACGTTCATTGTTGTTTCAATTGATAAAATGGAGAATAAAATTGAGAGATGGAAAATTGAGAGAGTGTCGCGCGTTAGCGAACGATAGTAAGATCGTCTCTGTCCCGATCCCTAAACTCGACCCACGTATCTGTCGCTTTTGCGACAAAATCAAAATTCGACATTCGAGCAAGTGGCAGCGACTCGGGCAGCGAAGTGAATAACGTGCACAGCATAACGTGCTTCCGTGATTCGGAGCCTCAGTGATATCCTGATATCGCGTTCGGCGTGCACGAGGGTGGGGTGAGGGCTCCCCCACTTCACCCCCTCCCCCTACCTAAAAGGGATCCGGGAGCAGGGAGGATAGTCGTCAAAGTGGCCCAGGATCCCACCCCACTCCACTTCACTCCACTCCAGTCACCAGTGCGGCGACGGTGCCGGGTGCCCCTACGGGTGCAACGCAAGGGGTAGGAGCGCGTTGAGGGTAGGGGGGGAGGTATCATAGGTGGGAACCTACCGCGAAATAGAGCTCGAGACTCGGTTCCTTTCCCTCTCCCCCCCCCTCTCTCTCTCTCTCTCTCTCTCTCTCTCTCTCGCGCGCGCGTTACCTCAACGTAGCGTACACCGCGAGAATGGAACGAGAAAGAAGGCGAATTGACAAGGGTAGGGGAACGTCAAGAAAGAAGGGAGTCGAACGAACCTCGGCACACCGACATTCCCCGGGGAAGGGGAACGCGAAAACGTCAGGGGGCGAAGGTACCCGTAGCGGCCGTAGCGGCCAGACACGGCGCGCGCCAGACGAATTGGGGCAATGATGACAATGATAACGATAACTGAAGCAGCTCCCCACCCTTAGCTAGGATCCGTTGACGGGAAGAGAGAAAGAGGTTAAGATATTCGCGGATGTGGGTGTACCCGTCGTGCGCGCGCGGACGTCTCAAGGGCCAAGGGTGTTACTCCGAAGGGGAGAGAGAGAGAAAGAGAGAGAGGGGGGGGGAGAGAAGGAGGGAGCGAGAGAGAGAGAATTACGAATTTCGAGCTCTCGGATGACATGAGGCGCTACGCTTCACTCGTTGACACGCAACGTGATTTTCGTTGTACGCGGAATGGCGTACGCGACTGATCGGACGGCTCCGTTCTCGCTCGTACCGACTACCGACGCCCGACGCTAGTCTAGATCTAGATCTAGATTCTAGATTCGGCTAGACGCTCTCGTAAGACGCGCATGTCGTCATGGCGCAACGATTCTCCTAAGGTTAGTCGAGGCTAAGTTTATCCTTGTCTCTCACACGCTCTCGCTCTCTCTCTCTCTCTCTCTCTCTACCCTTCTTCGCCCGTCGCCTTTCCTTACATACTGAAATGCCTCGGATGTATCTACGAGTCCCTTCGTTTCGATCAAGCGCTCCGCGAAAGCAAATACCGTGCATACACGTAATGCAGATTTTTCGCAAGGCAAGGTCCGTCTAGGTAGACAAGCTAGGGGCGTCTCGCATTACTGTTAACTGCGTGCTAGTTGCGGGACGCTGTACGCCAAACGGATCGGCGATTGTCGCGCAACGACGCGACGCGACGCGATGCGATGCGACGTCCCGCATCGTTTCCTTTCCGCTTTCCTCCTCGAGACTCTCCACCGGAGCACCGATTCCACCAGGCTCGCGACGCGACGCGAGCGTTCTCGGTTTTGAGAGCGGGCGTGACTATTGGGAGGAAAAAGCCAAGAAAAACGCATCGTACGTTGCGAAAGCGTCATCTTCCGTCCCGTTCGACTCGGCAGTCGACCGACGGCGTCGGTGAATTGAATTGTGCGTGGCGTGGCTTGTCTACGCCGGTACGCCCGCCATGTTGGAAAAAATGATCCACGTAAGAGCGCGTGAGAGAATTATAACGCGGGCTTTTTTTACATTTCCCTCTCTTTGCTTCTCTCCCGCTCTATGAACATCGAGCGAAATCCCTTCTTCTAATGCGAGGCGGCGACGAGCCGACGAGAGTAATCTCCGTGGTCTCCTCTCCCTACTCGTTCCACGTGCCGTATCGTACCGTGCCGTGCCGTACCGTGCTGGGCCGAGCCGGCCGTGGACCCGGGGCCAAGGACGGAAATAGGAAAGAGATCGCGACGAAACGGCACGCGGCAAAAGATGCATCAGCTGACGGAGAGCAGGGCAGAGGCGAAACGACGGCGAGGTACACGGGCAGGGCTGTTGTTTACACCCCCACCTCGATGGGTTAGAGGCAGCGAGATGCCACGGAGGGGCCTCCGAGACCTCGACGAACACCCACCACCACGCAATTTCCAACCCCACCAGCCTCTCAACCACTGTCCGCACCTCCAACCACCCCACCAAAGCCAGCTCGAGCCAAGCCGTGAGCCACGACGAGGGCCCCGCGACGATTTTAGTGTCTTGGGGTGGGTGCTCTCTGTGACCACCGTTTCGCGGTTTCTCGTCGCATGGTCTCATCGTCTAGAGTCGAGCGTGACACGGCACCTACGGGGCGGTACCGTATCGTCCGCCTCATATCGGGAGTACGATCGAGCGTCAGAGATATAAAGCTACATATATATTTTTTTATACGCATACCGTATATATATATATGTGCGCGTGTGTGGTGTATATATATATAGAGAGAGACAGAGAGATAGAGAGAGAGAGAGGGAGAGAGAGGAGAGAGAGGCAGAGGAGACACATATGGTCATTACAAAGGCAAAAAAAATTACACTTAAAACAAGACGTCTAAAGCACGAGGAAGGTTGCAAGCGTTCAAGATGTGAAAACTAATCGACTTTGTTCCACTTACTCGTAAATCGTAAGTACAGGCAGGTAGATGAGCGGGTGGACGACCAGCGACTCTCCGTGCACACTCGCCTCAATGTACCGCTGTTACTGTCGCTGCCTTCGGTCGTCTTCGTACGTCCGCTTAGTACGGGAATTGTCCGTCTGGCTGGTTCGCGTGCGTCGTCGTTCCCAATCCTCAGCGCAGCGGTAACAACTTTCTCATTTCAACGTGAACCCGCCGACCGACGTATCGCCGCGGCTGTCGCTGCGATGCACACGTCATACATATGCGTAGAGACGTCGGGATGGACGCGCGCACGTCTCTAACGGAAGTTCGAGGAGAGCTCGAGAGTGACTCCGCGATAAATTCGCACTCGCACACTCTACTGCTCACGCACACTCGCTCGCTCGCTCGCTCTCTCTCTCTAACGCACAACGAGCAGCTCTCGGCGCTCTCGCTGAACGGAGACGCGCACACGCTTCGTTTCCGGGTTTACGACGACCAACCGCGATCGAATATGGCTCAGCCCTCCTCGGTCGGTAGGTACGTGAGCGTGGATGTCGCTCGAGCCTGCGCCAACGGGAAATGGCAATAGAATTCGAACTAACGGTACATGCAGCCGCCTGACGCCACTAGGATGGTGGCCACGCCATCGATAATAAACGACTCGGAGCTCGGAGCGTGTTACGACCGTTACGACTATTACGAGTTACCGCCGAAGCCAAACGCCCAGCGGCCCAGCCACTCGTCCGGAAACGGAAAGTTGGACGGAATCGTGCGGTCGCGCACAGCTGCCACACCGTCGCACGGTCTCTACACGCCACTACACGCGCGACGCTTCGATCGGCTCGATGGACGACAATGACGGCGCGCGCTTCGAGTAACGCACTCGTCGCTGCTCCACGTCCAACTTTCCGCTGGATCCGGCTGGAGGTGCTTCCGATCGAGAGGATACGCGCGTTCTCTGCGCTGCTCCGTTAATATTTCAACCGTTAAAATATTATGGTGGCGGTTACGCCGCGTAGAGCAGGGTACGAGTGATAGCGAGGCAATTGGAACGTGGCGTATTGGTGCTTGCGCGTACTTGCCGATCGAGCGTTCCCGCAAGCTGACGTTCCTTGTCGCATTCGCAAACAACGCTCATTCTAACGCGCCGGATATCTCGTACGATCTGATACGATCTAAACACATTCGTTCGTCACGTAGATCCCTCTTTTCCTCACTCTGTCGCGCCACGTTTACGCGACCACGAGACGGAGCGATTCGACTCACCCACACCTAGCTGCACCCAGCTGTACCCAGCTGCACCCAATGGATACCAGAGGTGTAGAGCGTGTAGAGGTCAAGTCAAGTGGAGATGGGAGATCCATCCAACATCGACCGTCCTGCCATCTCTCTCGAGCCTCGAACGCGCGCATTTTTACGAAACGTTAATTTCTCGAAACACCGAGGCTGGTACATATTCACAATTGATACTTTTACATATCGAATGCAGGCTCAACGTGTCGCGAGCCAATCAGAGAGCCGTATTAGCATCCTGAGACGTTACTTAAAACGGTCTCGAAATAATTAACAACCGACTATGAATACCGGCCCGAAATTCAACAGTTGGTTCTGCTTGTAAGCCCGGATCTACGATAGGTGCATCGAGTCTCAATTTAAATCTTAAGAAATTGACGAATCATAATCGATCGTTCTCCTCGCGTTCGATTGTGATCAATCATTTCCTTACCGTTTCATGCTTACTCTACCTGTCGTAGCTAGCGCTCGCACCAACCCTTTCTTTTCAGATTCACCTGCCGATTACTTCTATTCGTGTTTTTGCAATCCCAATTTTTCATACACATGTTCCGAGTTGCCTTGCATCAAATTCCACATCGATACGTCACATCGCGTCACGTATGCCAATGGAAATATGCGTCCATAAGAATGTAATAAGCCTAGGACGATTTGTATGTGAGAAATAATTACAACATAGTTCAAATAAAGAAATATTACAACTCGCATGGTTTCACGTTCATATACTCTCACTTACACACAATTTTATACTCTAATAAAGAAAGCTTAATGTTCCAACGATTATACATTATTGAATCTTATATCTATAGATGCTGACTCTGACAAAAGTTTTATATACCGATTTTATTGCTGTGCCGATTTTAAGCTACGCTTCATCGTTATCCAAGTAATATCGATTGGAAAATCAAAAATTATCAAACGTATCACGTAGAAAAACGACGGGAGAAAAACAGTGAGACTCCCAGTAAATGAGAATGTATTAAAATGGATTGAAATTTTTTCTATCCGAATGCGTATTTTAAACAGCGAATACCTTTTTTTCGATTTTTAATTGGTTTCAATTGGATTCAATTGGATGAAATTGAATTGAAAAATTGCATTTCCTATTCAAAATTTTTAATTAAACAATATTCACAATGCACACGATGAAAAAGCTGATATTACTTTTAGATTGAAAGGCATAGAGATATGCTCCATGCGATTCTTATAAATGAATAAAAATGCATTCAGGATTGAAAAGCATTCATTTTAACGTTCCTGAATCTATATCTCTGAAAATCTGAATCCATTTCAACCCATTTCGATCCATTCTCGTTTACTGGGCTTGACTAAATCTCAAGATCCTTCGCAAGTGAAACGTGCGTTCGTCAATAGAGATCTGGTCTCCTCTGCATACGTTCCATGTATAAAGAAAAGAGCAATTTATTGCTCTCGTAATAAAAAGGATTTTCCGTCGCATCCAAATCTGGTCTGTAATCACTGGTAAAACTGCTTTGGCTGGAACCACAACTGCCTCTGGGCGATGAATTTTGAGATATCTCTGAGCAGCTTGGAGACGCCATGAAATTTCCACTCTCCCAATCAGTTTCCATATTCTCCACCGTGTTCTCTCGTAGGCCCGATAAACCGTTGATATGAAGATTGTTAATTCGTTTGCTCAATGGCATAAAGTCGCTAGATTCTTCTTCTATGTTGCGACATCTTTTCCTAAACGATTCAAATAGAAAATAATTATGATAGACGGAATGATAACAACGCTGCTGTAGATTAAAAAATTATGTTTTATAATTCCTTTTACACATTTGTCTTTTCAAATACATTTTTATACCGTACCTACATTTTTACACACGCGCGTATGTATTAAGTATCGTAATTTTTTTTACAAATTATGACAATTAATATATACTTTTTATCTTGCAAATGTTTGAAAGACAAACCTGTTTGTTCGTGTCATGGTTATCGTTGATCGACTTCCACGAAGATTTCAATAGAGATATTCTCTCACTTGATACATGCTGCTGCTTCTTGTTTCGATTATATTTCCAAATGTTTACTAAAGCAAAATATAAAAACTGTAAAATACAGTCACTTCAATGGTCGACCCTTAAATCTGACGAGATCTGACAAATAGCTGACAACCGTGATTCGAGATAAATCACAGATAAAAAACTAACCTCCGTTTGAAAACTTCCTATTCCCTAATCGTCAAAAACTGTCAACATCGTAAAGACAGCTGAATGTATATGAAACAACGAAAAAAGAGCGTAGAGTTGTTACTTCTGTTCTTCATACGGTATCATTTAAGGTGCATTCACATGCAAGCGTCAAGCAGCGGAAGCAGCAGCAGCAACCAGAGCGTTTAAAAACGCGAGATCTTAATTTTGATTGCGATTGATCGATTTGTTTATGACCTTACGATTCCGACTAAAATTTTTGTAGATTTTTTTTACATCGCTGCCCGTATCTCGCCCAGCTGATCGGTTGCTGCTTCCGCTGCTTGACGCTTGCAATAATAGCCCATCTATAATACATGTACTAAACTTGGTTTAAGAAGTAACAGTAAGAAATTGACCAATCACTCGAGACTCGAGATGTTGTTAATTAAGCTAGTGCATGAACCAATCAGAGAGCCGTTTCAGTATCTTAAGCCATTGCTTGAGATTAAAGGTTTATTCGTGTCGCATGCTCCTACCATAGTTGTTACTCACTCGAACGTGCTTGATAGAGCGAATAGGAGCGATGGTAGGAGCATGTTGGAGCATATTGGAGCTTGCGACGCTAACAAACCTTAAGACCGGACTATGGATTCCGGCCAAGGAAATCGACCAATCACAGTCGATTGTGAGAAGAATAATCGACTGCGATTGGTCAATTTCTTTCTCTTACTTCTTACTCCGTGTTTATTGTAGACGACGCAAAGAGTGTAGAGTAGGTGTAGATGTAGGCGTAAGCGAAATAAATGAATTTTATTTCTTACTCTCAGGGGCTGCGAAGAATAAAAGAAACAGGGAACAGAGAACAAGAATTTCAACCTATCAGAAATCATGTATTGTGGAATGTATAGCTTCTGATAGATTGAAATACTTATTCTCTGTTCTCTGTTGCCTGTTCCTTTAATTCTGCGCAGTCCCTTACTTCTTAAACCAAGCTTACTACGTATTGTAGACGGGCCTTGAATAAAACCATCGATCATGATTGGTTAATTTCTTACAGCACGACATACGTCAACGTCTCCCGACTGATTGTAGACTAATGCCGGTTCTACAATAGAGTCGCGAGTCGTGAGCCGTAAGAAATTAACCAATCGTAGTCGATTATTCTTCTCACACTTAACTGTGATTGGTCAATTTCTTACGGCTCACGACTCGCGACTC